GAACACTGAAGCTCAGTGAGACCAGCTGGAGAGTTCCTAAAGTATTATTTATTTATATTTCACTCCTTTCAAGGGAGGGATTGAGGAGGCTCAGCGACAGCAAAAACACACTTGACCAGTGGTAGGGAAACCAGTATGTGTGAAGTCAAGATCCAAACCCTAGTCCTCTGATTCTGGATCCCGTACCCACTGCATCATGTCATGCTGTGAGGGCACATGTCAACTTGGTGTCCTAATGCCTGATCCAGCACACACAACACACAACAGGGCCACGTGAGGACAGAGCACCAAGGTCAAATACGTAGCTGTGGGTGGAGATGCCGATGTACCAGACAGGCACTGTGAGAGCCACACCGAAAACCAGCCCCACAGGCTCAATAAACCTCTAACAACTCCTTTCGAGAAGCCACTGGGTGTTGCCTGTGCAGATACACACATAGAAGGCCCAGCCCCTTACAGGGGGCATTCTGGTAGGTATTTTGCATACCAACTAGAAGCCAGGCACTTTTCTTTTTGTTAATCATCGCCCGAGGATATTTTTCCCATTGATGTTCAGACAGAATAGAAAGGAGAGATGAAGCAGGGGAGAGAGAGAGAAAAAAAAAAAGAGAGAGAAATATCGATGTGAGAGAGACACATTGATTGGTTGCCTCCCGCATGCATCCCAACAGGGCTGGGGATTAAACCTGCAACCCACCTACGTGCCCTTGACCAGGAATTGAACCCACAACCTTTCTGTGCTTGGGCCGATGCTCTAACCACTGAGCCACACCAGCCAGGGCAAGAATCCAGGTACTGTCACAGGCACAAAGGCACAGCAGTGGACCATGCAGAACTGACATTTCGGTCAGAGAAAACCAACCAAGACGACGGAGACAGAAGTCGGTATTTGTGATGCCTGCTGGCGTTAGTGGCTGGAGAACACAGAGCAGGGACAGAGAAAAGGGTGTACTGGCGCTGGGGAGATGTGGTTCTCTCGTGGCCACGGAAGGGCACACTGATCAAGTGACAGCTGAGTAGACTGTGGTGGAAGCGACGGGGAGGGACGGAAGTTTTCCGTGGAGGGAAGCCCCTGGGGGGGGATGGGTAGTGTGATGGCAGAACGGTAAGAGGCCACTGTGCCAGGAAAAAGTGGGCAAAAGGGCAGAGTCGAGATGAGGTCAGAAAGGTGGTCAGAGACGGCCACTGGCAAAATGGGGGCTTCACCCTGACTCAGACGGGAAGCCAGGTGAGGGTTTTAAGCAGAGGGGTAAAATGACTGCTGGATATTTTAAAGGGATCACTCTGGTCGCTCTGCTGAGAACAGATCATAGGGGGTGGGGACAAGGACAGAGACAAGGCGAGCAGACAGGAGGCCACGGCAATGATCAGATGAGAGCTGATGGTGGCGCTGGAGGTGGCGGGAGTGGTCAGACTATGAATGTTACTTTGAAGAAAAATCAGACGGTATTTACTAAATATTGGAAGTGGGTGTGAGAAAGAGGAAGGAGTGTGACCCCGAGGCTTCTGGCTTGAGCGAGTGGAAGGATGGAGCTGTCTTCACTGGAGAGGACGGCTTTGGGCAGAGGATCCACTCAGTCAGGTCATGTAAATCTAAGGTATTTCCTGACACCCCAAGGGAGATGCTGAATGTGAATCTGACATCCATGAAAGTGTGGGCAAGACACAGAGAGAGAGGGAGGAAAGGAGGGCGTTTGGGAGTTGACAGCACACAGACTGCGTTTAAAACCCTGAGACTGCCCGGCCGGTGTGGATCAGTGGTTGAGCGTCGACCCTGCACCAAGAGGTTGCCGGTTTGATTCCCGGTCAGGACACATGCCCAGGCTGTGGGCCCGATCCCCAGTGGGGGGCACGTAGGAGGTGGCCAATCGATGTTTCTACCTCTCTCCCTCTCCCTTCCTCTCTCTCTAAAGTCGATACAGAAAAACAAAAACAAAAACCCTGAGACTGGCCCTGGCTGGTTTGGCTCAGCGGTAGAGCATCGGACCAAAGAGTCATGGGTTTGGTTCCAGTCAAGGACACGTACCTCAGTTGTGGTTTGGTCCCAGGCCCTGGTTGGGGTCGTGCGGGAGGCAGCCAATCGACGTGTCTCTCTCACATTGATGTTTCTCTCTCTCTCTCTCTCTCTCTCTCTCACTCTAACTGAAGATACATGGAAAAAAGTATCCTCGGGTGAGGATTTAAAAAAGACAACAACCCTGAGACTGGATGAAATCATGAGGGAGTGTAGAAAACAAGCTGGCCCTGGCCGGTTTGGCTCAGCGGTTAGAGCGTCGGCCTGCAGTCCAGAGAGACCCGGGTTCGGTTCCCGCTAAGGGCATGTACCTCGGTTGCAGTTTGTCCCCAGCCCTGGTTGGTCGTGTGGGTGGCAGCCACTCGATGTGTCCCTTTCACGTCGATGTTTCTCTCTCTCTCTATTCCTCTCTCTCCCTCCCACTCTACCTGAACTAAAAATAAATGGAAAAATGTCCTCGGGTGAGGAAAAAAAAAAAGAAAAGAAAACAAGCTGATGGTTGGACGGAGTCCTGCCCATGCCAAACCTAAGTCGGGGAAAAGGAGGTGAAACGAGTGGACAAGAGAGAAGCAGCAGCTGGTGAGGCAGGAAGAGAATCCAGAGAGGTGTCCTGGCAGCCACATGACAGGTGTCTCAGGGAGGGGCGGTCACCTCCACAAAATGCTGCGACAGGGCGGGGAGAATGAAGGCTGAGAACTGGCTACTGGCTTTAACACCGTGGACATCACTGGGGCTCTGGCAAGACCAGGAGGGTGGGAAGTTGGGAGCAGAAGCCTGGGGGGCGGATGCCAGGAAACACGATCCAATGACCAGCTTTCTGGAAAATGGAGAATAGAGGATGACGTCAAATGAGACAGCGGATGATGAAGCAGCAGAATCCAGACAACGAGAAGCAGGAAGGATGACCCTGTTTCTTCCATGGACAAATTACAAGGAAAAACGAGAGCGATGGAGGAGGAACCTACAGACTCAAAAAGGACTTAGGAGACAAAGCAATCACAATGGATAGTTCTGATGCAAATAAACGAATGGGGAAAAAAAACAAACAAAAAAAGAAACAAAAAACATTTACAACATTTTTGAAAGAATTTTGGAAATTCTGTCTGGAAATTTGAATACCAACTGGATATTTGAGGAGGTTGAGGCTTTTGCTGTGGTGGTAATAATATTGAGATTATTAGTTTTAAAAAAGAGTCTTTACCTTTTAGAACTACATACTGAAATATTTATAAGCATAATGATTCATGCCTGAGATTTGCTTCAAAATAAAATGGGAGGGGGCCATGGGTAGGGATTCAGATGAAACAAGATTGGCCAAGAGTCGGTCACTGTTGCCCTGGCTGGTGTGGCTCAGTTGGATGGGCACTGTTCTGTGCACTGAAAGGTAGTTGGTTCATTCTCAGCCAGGGCACATGCCCGAGTTGTGGGCTCGATCCCCAGTAGGGGGCGTGCAGGAGGCAGCTGACAGATGTTTCTCATATCGATGTTTCCATCTCTCTCTTTAAAAATAAAAAAAAATAGCCCTGGCCGGTTTGGCTCAGCGGTTGGAGCGTCTGCCTGCGGTCCAGAGAGACCCGGGTTCGGCTCCCGCTAAGGGCACGTACCTCGGTTGCAGTTTGTCCCCGGCCCTGGTTGGTCGTGCGGGTGGCAGCCACTCGATGTGTCCCTTTCACATCGATGTTTCTCTCTCTCTGTCTTCCTCTCTCTCCCTCCCACTCTGTCTGTACAAAAAATGGAAAAATGTCCTCGGGTGAGGATAAAGAAAAATAATAATAAAAAATAAAATAAAATAAATAAAATAAAATCTTAAGAAAAAAGAGTTGATCATTGTTGAAGCTGGATGATGGGTTCATGAGGGTTCACTACACTCTTTTATCTACTTTGGTAAATGTTTGAATTTTCCATAATAAAAAGGTTAAAAAGGGAGGAAGAGAGCCCTGGCCTGTTGGGATCAGCGGCAGAGTGTTGGCCAGCGACCAAGGAGTTGTGGGTTCGATTCCGGTCAAGGGTAGGTACCTCAGTTGCAGTTCGTCCCTGACCCTGGTCGACGTCATGCGGGAGGCAGCCAGTTGATGTGTCCCTCTCACGTCGATGTTTCTCTCTCTCTCCCTTCCACTCTATCTGAAGGGGGAAAAAAACAGAAGGGAGAAAGAGAAATGGAGAAGCAAGATGGAGACACACAGACGAGCCACTGAAGGAATTCTGCTATACAGAGGAGCAGAGGACCGAGGCACTGACTGGAGGGAGATGCAAGGGCCAGGGGCGTTTTCCACTGCACACTGGCCAGTTCCATAGACAGGGAAGAGCTGCGGATGCAGAACAATAGGGGGACGAGCTGGCGTGACTTCCTGGAGTAAGTGATGGGGGACAGTGAGCCTCTGGGAACAGAACAGGCAGAGTATATGAGACAGACAGCGGGTGGACGGATGCCATGGCTGCATGTTGTCGCCTGTGACTCCATTTTCTCAACGGACTAGAAAGAGGGGTCGTGGACCGAGAGTGCAGCGTTGATGAGCTGAGGGACGGAAAAAGGAAGGGGAACTGGAGCACGAATTCTGAACTCCCAGCAGGGACACCAGAGGGTAGTGGTCATGACTTTCACGGGATTCCAGCCAAAGGGGTTTGGGTCTGTCTCCAGCCACGTTTGGACAAGCGCACACAAAGATAACCAATGTCAAATGGTCACTTGTCGCTGCCAAGTGGGAAACCCAAGCATGAGCGCTTCAGGAATTTGCAGACACCCAGACATCCCGGGGAGGGTAAAGGCTCAAGGACGGAAACATGCAGACTGTGGGGAGCGGGTAGGGGCCAGCTACGGAGAATGTTCCAGACTAGGCTGTCTAGAGGAGATAGGCTTTAAGAAGACACTTTAAATTAGACACCAGGGAGCCAGGAGTTTGTCAACAGCACTGACAAAATGAATCAAGGTTTTGTTCACCTGTGCTGGTCCCCACCTCCATCCTCGCCCCTGGGGACCACCACATACCTTGGGGACCTCCCCTTTGCTGCCCGGGGGCAGCCGCAGGACCCAGAAGTTCCTGTTCCTCAGCAGGTTCTCCATGTTCTCCAGCCGCCTCTGCAGCAGCCCGTACTCCTGCAGCAGGGTGCCCAGCACGGCCCACTTGCTCTCCATGTGGTTCCCGAACTCCACGGCCGTCTTCTCGCAGTCGGCCAGCTTCTTCTCGGCCGTCCCCGTCCGTCCCTCCAGATTTAGCAGCTGGCTGGCCTGGGCATCCACCTTCCTCTCCACCGCCTGGATGGCGGCCACCACGGTCCAGAGCGAGATCTCGGCCGTGGGCAGCTGGGGCTCTCTCATCACGCGGTCAGGGAAGACGGGCGCCCTGTCGGGGAAGGGCGGGAACTGAAAAGGCATCGGTCGCCGGGCGTCCATGTCCCATTCTTGAGCCTGGGTGCAGAGAAAGTGACAGTTTGGGATGAGATCCTGTGAGAGGGGGGACGAGAGCCGAAGAGCCCAACCAATCAAATGCCACAAATTCTCGTTCTTCTGCCAAGCCCTCACCTCTCGGGCTATGGTGTTCATGAATGTCCCCAGTAATGGCTGGAGCAGCCACCCACCCTCTCTCTGCCTGCAGAAGTCAGGCTGGTCACTAGTTTACCTACCCTGACCCTTGGCCTAAAACGTCACATATAGCTTTCTTTGACCAGAACAGCTGCTTTCCTCACGGGCTAGACTTAATGAAGTTAGAGTGGCCTCGTGTTTTCTTTTCTTTTCTTTTTTTTTTATCCTCACCCGAGGACACCTTTCCATTTTTTGTTCAGGTAGAGTGGGAGGGAGAGAGAGGAACAGAGAGAGAGAGAGAAACATCGACGTGAAAGGAACACATCGAGTGGCTGCCACCCGCACAACCGACCAGGGCCGGGGACAAACTGCAACCGAGGTACGCGCCCTTAGCGGGAACCAAACCCGGGTCTCTCAGGACCGCAGGCCGACGCTCTGACCGCTGAGCCAAACCGGCCAAACTCGTGTTTTCTGTTTCAAGGTGAGGAATGTCACGTAAGGCGTCTGACCCTAGTCGTCCCAGCACACTCTAAGCAGGCCGGGGCACTAATGATGACCTCTACTTTAAAGAGAGGTGGTTGGTCATTCTACAGCCTCGCTTCACTACCACCTGGAGCGGCTGCAGGTAACAGGACACACAGCTCAGGTCGGTGCTGCTGACACCTTCCCCGCAGGGCCACGCCATGGGGGACACCAGGGAGCCCAAGCCAGAGGGCAGACGAGCAGACTTTTCTCCATATCTAACTATTGACTCACATTCCTTCCAAAGGGAAAATAAGTTTGCCATAAAATGTCATTCACTGAGGAGGGGAGGGGTACCCCCCACCCCCACCTCTAGGCCCTCACTCTGGTAGTCCAGGCTCCATGGGTGCAGATTAGGAGCTGAGTCCAATGACCAAGTGAGGGTGGTGACCATTCACTGGTGACCTGGGAACTGGCCCCATACAGTGCCAGCACCCAGGCTTACTGGGCAGTCGCTGGTTTAATAACGGGCTCTCCTTGCCACCTGGGACAGGAGGAGGCAGGTGTCATTTTCTGTTTTTTTCTGCTGCTGCTGAAGAGGCCCCAGGCTGGGCAAAGCGGAGACCTGTTGCTTAGAGGTGACCTGGGCAGGCCCGGGACAGGCATGCCAACTGCCTTCTCTAACTCGGAGCAACTGTGACAGCCACAGAGGAACATCACAGCTTGGGGGGAGTCACTGACCCAGGAGGAAGCGGCCCAGGGCTCTGGGCCCCACACCCTAAGTAAGAGGTGGCGGTATTTCCATCAAAGCGATGCACGTGGGCTCATTTAGGCTTCACTCCCTTCTGGCCCGCAGGAGGCGACAAGGGCTGACAGTGGAAGTCTAGGAAGTCACCAGGCCCAGCTAACTTTTCTGGGGTTCAGAGACCTCAAGCTGAAGGAGGATCAAACGCGGCTCCTGGCTGATGGGTCAGAACCCGCTGAGAACCAGGCCAGCAGCAGAGGGGCTGGGGCTGGGTCCCGCCCGGGGCCTGCTCCCACACTCTGCTCCAGGCCTCTCTCAGGACCACGCCCGCGGACACCATTCTGGGGCACTGGCTCCCCACTCTCCGCCCAGGAGGTCTCGGCGAAGCTTCAGGGGATGAGCGGCGCCTACTCTCCGCCCCGGAGACGCGGATTTCGCCGGTTCGGGATGAGGCTCGGGCGGCAGGAGTCCGAAGAGTTGCTGGGTGATTGGAAGGCGCGGCCAAGTTTGCCAACCACCGGGGGGAAGGCAGAGTCGCCTCCCGCGGCCGCGGCACACCCGGGGCAGGGGAGAGTGAATCCCTCGTTACAGTTGGGGGAAGACGGCGACACATTTAAAACAGCTTTCGTCCCGGGGGCGACAGGGTGCCGCCCGCGAACCCGCGAACCCGCCCGGCCGGCGCAGGGGAGCCCGGGCGCGGGTGGAGACGCGGCCACGGCCCCGCCAGTCCCGGGGACCACGCGTTCCGGGCCCCTCGGCCGCGCGGAGCCCCCTCCGGGCCCCGGCACTGGGCCCGGCCGGCACCGCGGCCTCGGCGGCGCGCGGGCCCGCCGGCCGGGGCAGCGGGTCGGGGCCGGGCCTGCTCGGGGCCCGCGGCGCCCGCCCGCCCGCGAGCCCGCGCGCCGACCCGCCGGGGCCTCCGCGGCGCCCGCAGCCGCAGCCCCGCCCCCACGGCCGGCGGCGCGGCCATGGCGCTCGCCGGGGCTGCACCCACCTGCATGGGCGGCATTCCCTCGGCCATCTCCCCGCGCAGCGCCGGCTCCTGGTGGCACACCTCCTCCGGGGGCAGAGCCTGCGCCCAGCTCCAGCTCCCGCTGTCCAGCCCCAGGCCCTGGATGCCCAGCTGCTGAGGCTGCGGCCGTGTTGACACAAACTGCATCCTGGGAGTGCTGTTCCCCGCTCGGGCCGGCCAGGGAGAAGAAGAACGTTTTCCAGGCGCCTTCCCCCTCGCCGGGGCCGGACAGCTCCATCTACAGCCCGTAGGAGCAAACAGTCCCCCTCGGCGGCTCCCCGCCCCTCGCAGCGCGCGCCAGCCAATGGCTGCCGAGCTCCTGCCCGCCTGCGGGACCGGCGGGGCCACTCCCGGCCCGGGCCACCGCCGCCCCGAAGTGGCCCTGGGCGGATATGCTCGCCGGTGGCCTTCAGTCTGGGGTGGTCTCCCCTAACGTCTCAGACCACGCGGGGTACTGATTTCTGCTCATTCTGCAAAGGTACTGGGCACCCCAAGGAAAATGGTGTCTGACCCTTTTAAAATTTTTGCAAGAATTATTGTGTCTCCAGACTCTTTCTTTGCCCCCCACCCCCTCCTGTGCAGGCTTTACCTCTCCACTCTCTCCCTTCCCCATCCAAATTTACCTGGACCAGTTCCAGGCCTTGGCACTGGTCTGGATGATGGAGAAGTGATCTGGGCTAATGTGTCAGAAAAGGGCTGAACTCTTCCTCCCAGGAAAGGCGCGCTGCATTTTACCAGCAGCCTCTTCCAAAACCTTTACATGTAGGTCAAAGTCACTTTGAAACATCAGGGCCAAAGCAGAGGAGGAACCAGGGAGAGGGGACAGTAGGCGAAGGGAGGGGGAAAATTCCTTCCTTCCTTCCACAAATATTTACTGAGCACTTACTATGAGCCAGACACTGCTTAGGCAGAGGTTGGGCTTTGTGGTTGGATACACCTGAGTTTGAATTCCAAAATCATCAATCACTAGCTTTGACTGTTAACAAGTTACTTAACTTTGAGCTTCACTTGGTCTCTTCATATACAAATGGAAAAAAAAAAAGCCTAAATCGAATGAGATGAGAACAGTGCTTAGCACACCGTAAGTACTAAACAAAGGTAGTTACCACCCAAAGCTAAGTCCTTGTAATTATTCTCAAAATAGTGTCTGCTTTGTCTTCCTACATGACTAGTCCCTATCTTGTTGAGATGGAGATCTCCAAGGCTTATTATCGCGCCCATATGGAGACAGACCTACCGCAGAACTACCCCAGTCTGGCACCCTTTTATTCCACTGCACCTAGTAAAACAAAAGGCATTATTGGACCAAGTGAAACATGTATTTAGAACCCCATATTCAGATGGATGACTATCAAGTACTTCCTCTCTTAGACACACTTCTGGGATACGAAATGAACGCCTCATGGACTTAGTACTATCTTCAAGGAGCATTCCGGCTAGCAAAGGCTATGTTCCTAGAAGTCAGTGTTTCCTTCCCTCTGACCCCTGGCCACAGGCTGCCCGACCGTGAACATCATGTTCCCCATTCCTAGGGGAGCCAGGCAAGCAGAGTCTGAAAAGCTCCAGGTAAATTCATTTCCACCAGTGAGGTACACTTCAGAGCACACATTCTGACCTGTGGGTCATCAGCCACCTTCCCCTTCCTACAGGTGGAAAAGAGAGGCTGGGTGAGTCCCAAGGGTTTAAGCTATCTTTTCAGTATAAAGCAGTTAATTAAGTACTTCTCTTCTTAAACAATAGGACATTCACTTCATATTTCTCCTTCCCAGAGGGTCGTTTTCACAGAACCATCCACTCTTGCATCCTTTGCAACCAGGGAGTGTCTGCCAAAGGCTGGAGGTTGGGTTCGCTGCCTAGAGCGGAGTTGTCAGTGCAAACAGAATGTAAATGCCCAGGCTTCACTGAACTAGTGTTGCTGTGCAGCCACCAGGCCCGGCAACCACAGGCCCTGAAACCCGGAAGTGGATCCAGCAGGAGGGTGGTGAGTGGTGGGATCAGGGGCACTAGGAGGGGGCTGCTCTGGCAGCACAAGCCGTGGACCCTCTCCTGGGTACTGCCCTGTGGGCGGAGAGGCTCGGGCAGGAGAGGTCCTGAGCTGGGAAAGGCATCAGTCGTTAGGCTTGTTTGTATAAATCATGGAGTAGCTATGAAGCAGCTCCCTAATTTACTGAGGAACAGAAAGAGCAATGATAAAGAGAGTGATAAAGTGGATCAAAGATTCAAGTATTACCCTGGCCAGTTTGGCTCAGCGGTTAGAGGTTGGGCCCGCGGATCAGAGAGACCTTGGTTCGGTTCCCGCTAAGGGCGCGTGCCTCGGTTGCAGTTTGTCCCCGGGCCCAGTTGGAGTTGTGTGGGTGGCAACCAGTCAATGTGTCTGTCTCTCTCTCTTCCTCCCTCTCTCCCTCCCGCTCTACCTGAAGATAAATGCAAAAATGTCCTCAGGTGAGGATTAAAAAAAAAAAAAGATTCAAGTATCACTGCTAATAAACATTTCTCGGGAGGGAAGGACCCAGGCTGGCCTCTCACTCTCTCAGGTGTTCATTGACGGCTTTTCATCTTCTCACCTGGGGATTCTGCAGCAACGGCCTGGACAGGGCATCTGATGTGATAGATGCTGAACTGCGGGATGTAGGGGAGAGGAGAGGGAATTCGGATATGCCAGAACATGTGTGTATCCTGAGGGTTCTTTTTTTTTTTTTGCATTTATCTTCAGATAGAGCGGGGGGCGGGGGGGTGGGTGAGAAAGAGAGAAACATTGACGTGAGGGAGACACATGGAGTGGTTGCCACCCACACGACCCCAACCAGGGCCAGGGACAAACTGCAACTGAGGTACATGCCCTTAGCGGGAACCGAACCCGGGTCTCTCCAGTCCACAGGCTGACACTCTAACTGCTTAGCCAAACCGACCAGGTCCTGAGGGTTCATTTTATGCATCAACGTGACTGGGTCAAGGGATGCCCACATCGCTGTTAAAACATTTCTGGGTGTGTCTGAGGGTGTTTCCCGAAAACGTTAGCATTCCTTGAGCTGGGACACTGATCCCTCCTGCCCTTGGACAGCAGCCCTCCTGGGCCCCGAGCCTTGGCCTCCGGACTGGAAATAAATTACCCCTCGGGCTCTCCTGGGTTTCCAGCTTGCAGACAGAGGGCATATCCAGGGACGCCTCGGCCTCCATAACTGCAGGAGCGCATTGCTACAATAAACCTCTAAGATCTCTCTGTAGCCTGTTGGTTCTGTTTCTCCGGAGAACTCGACCATTTCCTGAGAACCCCTGGTACTCCAGCTCCTTTCAACAACCACAAGCTTTATTTGAGGGAGAAAACCTTGAGATGTACTCTTAGCTGAGTGAAGAGGGTGACCAGATTTGCCCTTCTATTTTGGCATCTCCCAGGCTTAGTTTCACAAGTCGGCTTAAGGACTACAACGTCATCAGTGGGGCAGAGAAAGGAAGATGGCGGCCTGGGGTCCTCAAGCTCCCCTTGCCCACTGGCTTGTCCATGGTTGCAAACTTGTCTCCTCTCTGGGACACTGTCCCTTGTGCCAACTTCCAAGGAAGGGTAACTCCTTAGGTTTCAAAGTCACTGACATCAGCCCTGGCAGGTTTGGCTCAGCAGTTAGAGCACTGGCCTGTGGACCAAGGAGTCCCGGGTTCGATTCCAGCCACGGGCACATGCCTCAGTTGCAGTTCATGCCTGGCCCTGGTTGGGGTTGTGTGGGTGGCAGCCAGACGAGACGCGTCGATGTTTCTCTCTCTCTCCCACCCTCCCACTCTGTCTGAAAATAAATTAAAAAATATCCTCGGGTGAGGATTAAGAAAAAAAAAAAACACAAAGTCACCTACATCCTCAGTACGACTGGAAATCAGAGGCGGGGCTTGGTGGAGGGGAGGGCGCCGGGGCCAGCTCCCAGACCCCTCAGAAGAGGCGCCAAGTGTTAATGTGGGGATCGGAGTCAAATACTTTGTATTATATAGTTTGAAGGCCAATTTGCTCTTATTAATGAGTTTTCAACATCCTTGCCTTTTTCAAACCCATCCTTTTGCCACCATTTTTATTCAGACTTAAATGCCAAACACATACGTACACACACATCTTCACTCTCTCTCCCTCTCTTTCTCACTAATCTCTGAACATTTGTGCTTTATACCTATGTAAAGTTTAGATAAAACATTACTTTTTCTCTCTCCAGTTTATTCTCAGCCTACTTCAAAGAGGCATTTCCTCACCTTCTTTACAAGTCTTGACACAGCAGACGAGTGAAGTTCATTGGCTTCTCCTCAGTTCTTAATGGCTCTAAGGTACTTTCCTCGTGTTAATAAATGTGCGATCACTCGGGTGACTGAGTTCACTATTCAGCAGTTCTAATGCAGCCAGCACCTACGGCTGAAAACCCTTCATGCAGAAGATGTGGCTTATGTTGGAAATAATTGCAGCATGTTCTCGCGAATCTCAATGGGCAGCCTTTCAACCTTTAAGTGTAGATTTGATTACTAAAAATGGCTAAAAGTCTTTCAAAATAAAGCCCAGTGTTCATGCAGAATAATACTGTTTTGGTTTTTTTTTTAAAGCAACAAATAAGGTATTAAAACCAAGTTTTGTTGTTAAATCGAAGCTGGTAACGACATCACCAAGGCCCCTTTTTGTTCTTCAGCAAACTGCTCTAACAGGGAGGTGCTGGCCTCACCACCATAGAGGTCAGGGAGGGCGGCTGCAGGCCCTGGGACCCTCTGTGCTCATCGGTGTGCTGCCAGTGTTCGATGGCCAGGGCTCTGGACACAGCGCCTGTAGTGGGCACAGGCCTCTAGAACTGCTGACCTGACTACTGAGTTCCGTCAGACCTTTCTCAACCACCATTCCCATTGCCTTCTTTCCTTCTGAGCCCTGCCTCTAGATCACATTATGACTTCCTACTGTGGATCCAAAGACCTTTCATTAATCTCCAGTGCCCAGCTCCCTGCTCCCGCGAAGCCAGCTCACCGGTCCTGTCCAGTCCAATAATTCACTTTCTTTCCATGATCTTCTAAACTCGCGGGCACACTAACGTCACTTGGGAACTTTATATTATTTGTTTAGAATGTTGGGTAGTGCAGTGAGCCCTGTGATAGTCTCCGACTAGGGCTGCTCTCCCCAACCCTTTTTTCTAGGAGGATTGCATCAGCAGAGTCTTGCTTCCTCAGACTCAGCCTTCTTAGTCCTCTAGCACTTGGGGGAACTTTAAAAACATAAAAAGAAGAATCCAGGCCCCATCTCAGATGAGTGAAATCATGCCTGGTGAGCCCTGGGCATACACAGTATTTTTTTTTTTTTTAATCCTCACCCAAGGACATTTTTCCATTTTTTGCACAGATAGAGTGGGAGGGAGAGAGAGAGGGAAACATCGACGTGAAAGGGACACATCGAGTGGCTGCCACCCGCCCGACCAAGCAGGGCTGGGGACAAACTGCAACCGAGGTACATGCCCTTAGCGGGAACCGAACCCGGGTCTCTCCGGACCGCAGGCGGATGCTCTAACCGCTGAACCAAACCGGCCAGGGCATACACAGTATTTTTAAAAAATAAAAAATATATATTTATTTTTTATTGATTTTTTAGGGAGAGATAGAAACATAGATCAGCTGCCTCCGGCATGCCCCCCACTGGGGATGGAGCCCAAAACCTGGGCATGTGCCCTGACCGGGAATTGAACTGGGGATCTCTTAGTCCATGGGATGGTGCTCAATCCACGGAGCCACACTGGCTGGGCCATACACAGTAGCTTAAGCTCCCCAGGTTATTCTAATGTTCAGCCAAGAACCAGAGTAACAGTCTTCCTGCTATTCCTCAGGTCCCTGTCTCAGCCCCACAAGATCACCCTGGGGGTTCATTCTAAATGATCACTTACTGGCTAAAAATAAAATGATTGACTTAATTATTCTTGTTCATTGTTTTTATCCTGCTGTTTATTCACGAGGTTGGCTTGTAGATATTGTTTTTCTCACACAGTTTTTAATAACTGTAAATGTAAAGGCAAGAGCTGGCTTGATGTGCCTACCTTTGTCCGCATCCCTGACTTTGAATTCTGCTTGTTTGACCCAGTCTCTCCAGTAATGTGCCTGCCTTCCTGATTCGTTCTAATTCCTCGTATCCATAAAGCTGGTCAGCTTGCGGAGGTTGCTGCTAGAGGGAGGTCAACACATTATAGAGGTCAATCTGGTACTTTCTGCACCCCGCTTTGTTTTCAATGTCTGCCCACACATACCCCCATTTTCCCCACCACTTCCCTAGTTGCAGCCCCAGGCGGCCTCTCCTCAGCACCCAGCACAGGCCAGCAGGCTGCAAGTGCAGGAGCAGCCACCGCCCCGTCCTGAGTGAGGCGCACCAGCCACGCCCCAGGAACTGTTCACCTGGTCAACAATTCTCCTGCATCTACGCATCAGCACCTTCCTCTGAGGCTTGGCATACGTTTCAAAGCACTTTTTAAGACCATCCTCATTTGAGCCTCACAGCACCTATGCAAACTGGGTAAAACATGGATTAGCCTCACACTACGAATGAGAAACCAAAGCAAGATGTAAACTCTGGCCTCCTTCCTCCCTTTCTCATTAAAATAATCCGTGATCTTATAAAAGCATAAAGAATGCTATACACCAGCCCTGGCTGGTTTGGCTCAGAGGTTAGAGCGTTGGCCTGCGGTCCAGAGAGACCCGGGTTCGGTTCCCGCTAAGGGCACGTAACTCGGTTGCAGTTTGTCCCCGGCCCTGGTTGGGTCGTGCGGGTGGCAACCACTTGATGTGTTCCCTTCACATCAACATTTCTCTCTCTCCCCCTTCCTCGCTCTCCCTCCCACTCTATCTGAACAAAAAATGGAAAAAATGTCCTCGGGTTAGGATTAAAAAAAAAAAAAATGCTATACACCAGGTATTTTACATTACACAGAATTAACAGGGAAGAATAACCACCGAATGACCCCAGCACCCTAGAACCACCATTGTTATTTTGGTGTGTTTTCTTACCCTTAAAAAATGCAATCAACTGCATACTGTGTATTTAAAACAATATTGTATAGTTTTGCTAACACTATGTCAGTTTGAGTGGCTTTGGAGTAATTATAATATGGTTACAATGAGACTCCTTATTCAGCAATGATGCTTACCTCTCCAAGGGGCTTGTTCTGCTGGGTTGAAGCAACCACTCAGTAGGGCAGAAGCTGGAGAGAAGCCAGCCAAGGAAATGACCAGGAAGTTAAATCTTAAAATCTATGATTTTAGCGTTGAAAGTGACCTTACATTACCATCTTGTTCAATGTGCGTAGTAGAATTAGGAAAATGAGATCTCCACAAATTAAGTGGCTTGCTCCAAATCAAGATGGTAGAGAATCCTAGGCTAGGACCAGAATCCAGTTTTGAATCCCTGCTCAAGTGGTACAATTACTTATTATTATTATTTTTAAATTATTTTGTTAAACCTCACCTGAGGATAGTTTCCCATTGATTTTTATTTTTATTAAAAAATTTTTTATTGATTTTTTTTTTTTTTTTTTTAGAGAGAAAGGAACAGAGAGAAAGACAGAAACATCGATGAGAGAGAACATCAACTGGTCGCCTCCTACATGCCCCCCACTGGGGATTTGGCCCACAACCTGGGCATGTGCCCTGACTGGGAATCGAACCAGTGACCTCTTGGTGCATGGGTTGATGCTCAACCACTGAGCCACACCAGCCAGGTCCCATTGATTTTTAGATAGGGAGGAAGGGAGGGAGAGTGGGAGGGAGACAGAAACATTGATGTGAGACATACACATTGATCGGTTGCCTCCCACATGACCCAGACTAGGGCTGGGGATCGAACCCACAACCCAGTGACATGCCCTTGGCTGGGAATTGAACCCTCAACCCTTCAGTCTGCGGGCCAACGTTGTAACTGCTGAGCCACACCAGCTGGGCCCACTGTACAATCATTCATGGAACGTCCACATCCCTAACAGCATGTGGCACCATGAGGGACATAAAATGAGATGTGGCCCCCATTCCTGGGAGCTTCATTTTTAGACTGGTTTCGAGATTTCACAGCAAATACGGGCTTTGCTAATAAAAACAAAGCCACATAGCCCAGTGAGGTTTTAGCTGCTCTTCTGTTGGAAATGCAACCTGTCAATTTTCCAATCTGCGGCACACTGCTTGAGGCTCCTCTGATTAGACTGTATCTTTCTGCACTTAGTGGCTGGAAGGTCTCAGGGCTGAAGTAAGTTTTTGTCTTGAAGAGGCAATTTGACCAAGTTGACAAAAGTCATTGTGTGTGTGCATGCATATATGTGCATGTGTGTATATGAAATTGTGGTCAGTTATACGCATTAAAAAAAACCCAGTAGGGCCAGAAAGGGAGGCATAAGAAAGTGACAAATGACTCCTTTTGCAAAATAGAAAAACAACAGCACCTTCCAGGTCCTCTATGCAAGGGACAATAAGCTCTGGTCGCTGACAGTGCTCATGAAGTAGAAGTCCTTGAAGGCATCCTGATGCAGGTGACGCACATTCAGGTGAAGCCGACTTCCTCCTCTCCCAGCCACGTTTGAAATGCCATGCTGCGCCACTGCTTGCTCATTTCCAAGTCACAGACCCTGGCGCTGGGACCACAGGACCTTCCCTTCCAACCACAGCTGATGGAACCAAGATGAGCATGTAACCAAGGGGCAGCCAATCCAAGGGTTGGTTGAAAACGTCTGTGGCCTGGTGTAGGAGGAGGAGCAGGGCCAGACCCCGCAGCTTAGAATCTGAGGCAAGGAAAACCAAGGGGACCAGAGCCACAGGCTGTCACAGCACACAGGAACCTGTGGAGCCAGGAGCACAGAGAAGGCAGAGTAAAAGTACAGACTGCATGGAAGCAACAGGCTGAGACATCAAGAATCACGTGCTGCAGAGCAGCCTCCGTGGACACGGCTCTAGGCTCAGCCGCCTTTCTGGCCCTCTCTGGTGGGTCCCGTGCACCTCTTGATGGCTGCCATCCTGACGCCTTCTACGTGTCAGGCTCTGTGCTCAGCACTTTCACAGGTATCCCCTAACCTAATACCTCAGAGGCAGAGGTATCATTCTCCCTACTTTACTGATAAGGAAACCAGGCTCATGATGGTTGAATAATACATGTATGTCAGGTTACTTCTGCTGATACAGACTTGAATCTAGGTCTGAGTCCATACTCTAAACCCACGTGATGTGGCCTCAAGTTAAGCCCTGTGCACTGTCCACCTCCATCCCCCACCCCTGACGTGACCTAACTTCACTGCCTTTTGCTTCTAAGAGCCCAACACTTCCCTAGTCAAAGAATGTCCTCTGTGTACAAATCCTGCTTCCTTTGTTTAGTGAAGGGAACAGGGTCAAAGGTAGCCACCAAGAGCATGTATCTGAAGATAAGAGTTCAGAATTCCTGGTCTACAAGAGCCTTGTGGGGAAAGATTTGCTTTTATTCTTTGCTACTGAGCAGCCCTTGGGCCGCTAGCTGTTGAGGGAAGCTACAAGCTGGAGGAAGGGGCAGGATGCTTTCTTGCCCCTACTCAAGAGGAAATCTGAGCAGAAATTTGGGTTCTCCATACCATTTGGAATGAAGATAAAGGAACTCGGGTCCTTTTATACCACCAAGGCTTCTGCACAGACAGTGGGCATTTGTTCCTTGCCAGTAAGCCACAGGGTCTGGCCTTGGTTGAGATAGGCACAGACACTCAAATCTCTCAAAAATGCTTCAAAAAGCAGCCCAGCAACCCCCCGTGGGAACTCTGCAGACTGTTACTGACGAGGGAGGTGTGTAAAGACTGCCCTGGCTAGAGCCCAGCCACGGTGTCACCAACACCACACATCCAGCAGAAAGGACCAGTCATCGGCTTTCATCTTCTAGACAATTTCCATTTATTTTCACACCTGTGGCTGAACCAGAGGGTCATCTTATGGTGACAATGAAAAACCTAGTAAGCAGAGTGGATCTGGTTACAGTCAACACCTGGATCCGCTCTAGCGAGATGGTGCCTATCTGTGTGACAATACAGACCGCTTCATCCGGAGGGCAGACTGAGGAGCACGTTTCTGGCTTTTCCTCTTCTCTGTCACATCTGCTCATGACAACCAATCCTCAGGTACATCTTTAACTGCTGAGTTAAATGCAGTTCCTCAGGAACTCCTAATAGACCAAGCTTCTCCATAACTAAAACCTTTCTGTTGGACTTAAATCTTTTCCACTGATCCATTTTACTTACCCATTTTTGAATCTCAGGCAAAAAAACTCTGTAATTTGGAGCTGTCCTGGAGTTCTACCTTGTGGAGGGGGAGGAGACCAGAATGCACCACAGTTGAACTCCTAGTCTGTACCAGGGCCAAAGTTTAGGACACCTACTTCCATCTTTCTGGCATGGCCCTGCCCACCCCTTTCACTCAGCTTCACGGTTCTTGCTTCATTGATATATTAACTATGTTCACTTCTTGCCAAAGTCTGGGACCCTGTTGACTACAGTTCCTTGCAGAAGGGACTGTGGGATCTATCTGCAGCATTTTAACCCATGGGTCTCTTTCATTAGTAAGGTCCATGTCCTCAGTAAATCAATGAGTAAAAAAGAATTTTCCGTGTTATATAGTCCAAGATCACACCTAGAATCCCTTCTCCAGCACACCGTGGTGAATGCTTAAATCTGTTCGGAAAAGGGAACGCACCATCTAAAGGTGGTACCTTGATTCTTCTCCCTTCTCTTTAGGGAGATCAAGGTGCAAACCAGAGCTGGAGCTCACACTCAAGTTCCTAGTGGTTCACCCATGAAACCAGAATTCCCAGAACCTCCAATTTTCTCACAGTATGAGTCCAGATCCTAGCTGGAGAGCTCCCAACATGCCAGCATTCTCTCCTCATCTGACTCAGTGTGTTCTACGCCCTGGGGCTTCTTCAGCACCTTCACACTGGAAGATACGGTCTCACAGACACGGCTTAGGTCTCCCGCGGTTCCTGGTATTGTGGCTATCAGAGCGGATACTGTGCCGATTACTCAGAAGAGCAGCATGTCCAGACAGGACCTCCCCATGAGCAAAGCTGGCTGGGGTAATAAAGCTTTTTCCTAGTATGGTTATGCACAGGCAGGGTAAAGGTTGGGCTAAGTGATAAGGAAAAAAATGGGTCCTTCCGCTACCATTTCATCAACAAAGTGTCCTGACTACTTGCAGACCTTGTTTCCAGGCACCTCAGGAAGATTCCGGGGAAACAAGCGAGTGTGGGTATCAACAGCATTTCTGCATTCTCTGTCTTCCACCCCAGGCTCCGAGCAGGAGGAAAACAACAAATCAAATAGATTTCAGTCAAGTTTCAGCAGGAATGTCTCTGCTTTGATTTTGCTGCTTATTTGGCTTTGCCTGGATAGAAGCCAGAGACAGAGATAGGATTTTGGCAGGAGAAGGAATGTATCACAAGATATAAAAAAAATTTGACTTAGCTCACGTTTCCTCTTTCACCCACCTCATCTCACAGGTGAAAATCTGAGATCTGTAAAGGGAAGGAAAGGGACTTATGCCCAACTGCAAGGCCACTTAAGAGCAGAACAAGGCTCAGATGCTCCCAGGTGACTGAATGACCCTGACAAAAGGACACACTGTAGCCAAGGTCCCTAAAAGCAAAAGCAGAAGGAAGAGGCTATCCCTGTCTGTGCTTGGCTCTCAGTGATCTGCGAAGTCTCTCACTGGCCACTGCCAACACGGGAATGACCGGATGGGCGAACACACTCTGATGGCTCGAGAAAGATGCGTTGTCACACTAGCCTCACTGCTGAGGAGACGAAAGCTGGGCGTCCACTGGCACTGAAATACCAGAATGCTTCTGGAAAGTGCTGTGATCTTTTCTGCTGAGGACTGTCAAGAACATCAGACACCAGAAATGGAAAAGCCATCGTGTCAATAATAAGGAAGAATTGGAAGTAAATGACTCTAGGAAACGTGGTTCAGGCACAAATGTTAGGCTTTGTCATTTCCCTGGGATCTCTAGCTTTTAAAGCTGGGGCTGAGCACACCGCTCCCTCTTTTCAACCAGGACCTCAGCAGCAGTTCCAGCCGTTCAAACGCCAGAGAAGCTGGACGCTGCAATCACGCTGGTGCAAGGGAAGCACTGCTCTCCTTAAGCAGCAGTCAGATTCCTGCTCGCCTGATGATTAACAAAGGGTACTTAAGAGAATGCGTCTAGGAAACCTCGGGAAGCCATATTGAGCTATAATTTGGGGAGAGGCAGTTCATTAGCACGTGAGCGGACTTTGGCTGGTGTCTAGGGCAGCAGGAACATGGACCAAGGCTTGAGCCTTCGTCTAACAACTGTCTCACCATCAGGGGCCGGAGAAGGGCTCGGGGAAACACGCTCTGCCTCAGATGGGCTCCAAGCTGCAATCACTCTCAATCTGTTACCCTGTGACGAATTACCAGAGGCCAAAGCTTGCTTTCCTATCTCTGCAATTTCTGCTTAGGTCACATTTTTGAAAAGATGGGGATGCTGGGCTCCTTCCCAGGTCTTTCTGGGTTTCAAAATGTGGTATTCTTGTGATGCTGTGACGCTCCCAAGCTCAAGCATGTCTCTAGTCAAGCGCACAGGACCCCAAACGCATCAATGTGCCAATCAACAGTGATTACTGCGGGTGTGGAGGGGCTCATGGCTTTTCTCTTGCCCTGGGTGAGCCCTGATAACTGAGAGGAAGGTTCACAAAACTCCCCCTCCGCTGCCCTCCCCATACCATTGATTGGCCTCTAGACTTTCAGTGTTAACGCCTAGACCAGAGGTTTCGAGCCCACTTAGGAGGGGGCCTGGGGGGTCAGGCGGCTGTCCAGACGTGTCAGTCTCACCCCCACAGCCTCCACTGTGGCCCGAACGCAGGTGGTCCTTGAGTGTCTGTTTGTAGCGGAAGCTCCGGCCGCAGTAGGCGCAGGGGTAGGGCCGCTCGCCCGTGTGGATGCGCTGGTGCTTCATGAGGTGGTGTTTGCGGATGAAGCTCTTGCCGCAGTGCGCACAGCTGAAGGGCCGCTCGCCCGTGTGCAGCCGCCGGTGGTTCAGCAGGTGCTCCTTGCGCATAAAGCTTTTACTGCAGTCGGTGCACGGGTAAGGACGCTCGCCCGTGTGGATCATCTGGTGGCGGATCAGCGCCGAGTGGCCATTGAAGTCAATGCCACACTGGGGACAGGAGAAAGGCCGCTCCTGTGCATGCCCGCGCTGGTGGAGCAGGAGGCTGATTTTCAGGCTAAAGCTCCGGCCACACTGCGAGCAGCGGAAGGGCCTCTCGCTGGCATGAGCTCGCCGGTGGCTGGTGAGGCGGGCCTGGTCCGCAAAGCGCTTGGGGCAATCAGGACAAGGGAAAGGGCGCTCGGTGCTGTTATGGACCCGGAGGTGATAGGTGAGTCTTGACGGGTGAGTGAAAGTCCTGGCGCAGTGTGGGCAAGTGGGGGGTGCCTCACTGGCGTGGGCCTGGGAGTTACTGCCGAGCTCGGCTGGCTGAGCAAAGTGCTTGGGGCACTGGGCACAGGATAAGGGATGCTCAGCAGTGTGGCTACACTGGTGGGTCAGCAGCATGTCTTGGCTGAGGCTCTTGCCACAGTGGTGGCATGAGAACATCTGCTCCCCAGCTGGAGGTGGCAGGGGGTAGCTACCCAGCTGAGTGAAAGTCACTTGTCCCTCAGACGCTTCTGCCAGGTCAGTGGCCGGATGTCCAAAAGGTGTCATGGATGCAGGCTGCTGGCTTTTGAAAGCCACATCTGAAAAAGTATCCTTTGCTGCTGCTGCTGGTGGAGAAGAGAAGGTAACGGGAACCTCGGGGCACAAGGAGGCTCTGGCAAGGCCTTCAGCTTTGATGACAAGCTGTTCATCTGAAAGAAGGGACACAGAGTCATACCCACCACCAGGTCTCACAGCAACTCTGCGCAGCCCTCCCCAGCTCTGACTGCTCTGAGCTCTCAGCTGGCTCCGTAAGAAACTCAGTGGAGGGCTGAGATAACCGCCAAGCTGTCCAAGGCCCCTACGGCAAATCTGAGCCTCTTCAATGCTCTGCTTGGAAAAGGACAACGTTGGCATCAATCTTCCAAGCATTATTTTCATTATGTTCCTCTTCTGCTCACAAACTTTGAAAGAATCTCTGATGCCTATTGTGATGGCCTAAAATCATGTATTAATCTACTCCTATTCCCCTGTATTCTGCCAGATAAATCCTTCACAACTGTTAGCGCTCTCTTCACTGACCCTGAAAACAAAGAGCACGTTTCTGTTTCGCATCTCTGCTCATTCTGTCCTTCCTTTTGTAGAATGCGTCCACTCTCTCCAATTATACTCAGCCACATCTTGCCAGTCTTCCAAGGCACAGTTCTGGCTTCACATCCTTAGGCCTTATCCAAAAACAGAAACTAAAACCAATGCATGTTCTCCAAACTCATTTCTTTTTTTTTTTATCCTCACCCGAGGACATTTTTCCATTTTTTGCTCAGACAGAGTGGGAGGGAGGGAGAGGAAGAGAGAGAGAGAGAGAGAAACATCGACGTGAAAGGGACACATCGAGTGGCTGCCACCCGCACGACCAACCAGGGCCGGGGACAAACTGCAACCGAGGTACGTGCCCTTAGCGGGAACCAAACCCAGGTCTCTCTGGACCACAGGCTGACGCTCTAACCGCTGAGCCAAACCGGCCAGGGCTCATTTCTTGTATTAAGTCACCCATCCCACTCACCCTTGACACTTAAGAGGTAGATCTAGTATGATATGTGTGTCCCCAATATAAATATCTTTTTTTTAAAAAAAATCTTCACCTGAATATATTTTTCCATTGGTTTTTATATAGAGTGGGAGGGGAAAGAGAGAGAGAAACATCGATGTGAGAGAGACACAACGATTGGTTGCCTCCCACATGTCCCCAACCAGAGATTGAACCCTCAACCAAGGCATATGCCCTTGACTGGGAATCAAACTTGTGACTCTTGGTCCTTGGGCCAATGCTCCCATTGCTGAGCCAAACCGGCCAGGACCCGGGCCCAATATAAATATCTTGAAGAACAGAAACTATCTTATTTCCTAGAGAATAAGGATAAAGGGAATAGAAGATATTAAAAATCAGGTTGCATCTGGCTGGTGTGGCTCAGCAGTTGAGCGTTGACCCTGCACCAAGAGGTCGCCGGTTCGATTCCCAATCAGGGCACATGCCCAGGTTGTGGGCCCGATCCCCAGTGGGGAGCATGCAGGAGGCAGCCAATTGATGTTCTCTCTCATCAATGGTTCTATCTCTCTCCTCCTCATTTCCTCTCTCTCTGAAATAATCAATAAAAGGAAAAAAAATTAAATATTTAAAAAAAATAATAAAAATCAGGTTGCATTCCATTACATAAACAATGTCCCTTCTGATTCTCTTCTGTGTTTCAGATAGCAAAATAGAGATGGTGCTCACTGCCTCAGAAGGAAGACAATTTGTTTTGTTTCCCATCACTGTCTCTCCTGCGGGCCAGCTCTTTATTGACCATCCCATTTGTGCCTCCCCAACATTTTTTTCCTCCACTGCTTGTCCTGTTCCATCTTTTTGTTCTATCCTTTCTCCATAATCTTCAAACGTTCTTCTGTTTTTCCCCAACCTCATATTTTTGTCTATCTGTATGCACTTATTTTTCTTCCTCTGACCACTCTAATTTGTTTTTACAGTTAAGAGTGTTTTTTCACTTAAATTAAATCTTAGTTTGATTTTGGTTTCATTTCTTACTTGAGCATGTCATTTTTTCCCACTTTTCCCATTCTTCTCCCACTTCCTTGCCTCCACGACCCATTCCACCTGCTGTGTCTTCAGTCAGTCCTGGCATAAGCTAGACCTGCACAGGAAGGTCGCTCTGATTCATTACTCACCAGCATAGGTACCCTTGTACATGTCATTCTGCTTGGACTCCTGTGGGGCCCCCACCTGGGGCTCTTCCTCTTGTTTAATCCAAGACAGAATATCTGATGTTGAAATGCCAGGCTCTGTTTGTGGGGGGAAAGAGAATGGCCTTCAGGGACTTGAATCAGAAAGTGAGAATAATCATGTTGGTTTGTTGAATACTGCACAATTTGCCCAAATTTAACTCTAACAACAAAACCAAAGCAGCCTTTAAAAATAAATGCACACAACACCTACAGAACCAGTTCAAAATGAAATCAAATTTATTTTTACACGATGTACTCAGCTTGATTCACTATTTTCAGTGAGCTCATTTCAAAACAAATCCATTTTTATTTTGGAGATGACTTCCTGAGATAACCTAAAATCCACAGTACCTTTCATTTCATTATCAAAATTACTTTAAAAATCTCTTCACGCCCAGCCAGTGTGGCTCAGTGGTTGAGTGTAGACCCTGCCCCAAGAGGTCGAGTTCGATTCCTGGTCAGGGCACATGCCCAGGTTGTGGGCCAAATCCCCAGTGGGGGCATGCAGGAGTGGCCAATTGATGTTCTCTCTCATTGATGTGTCTATCTCTCTCTCTCTCCCCCCCTCGCCCTTCCTCTCTCTCTGAAATCAATAAAGAAAAAATATTTTTAAAAAACCTCATTTCTTTGGGTCTTAGCTTTATTATGAAATAACGAAATAAGGAATATTCTCTCCATTTAAGTAGAGAGGGCCCACAGATGTTAACTAGACAATAAGTATTTACGGTGAAACACCACATTTTCAAAGTTTGGCTTTAAAATACAGCAGGGGAAAAAAAAAGCAAAGAAACAAGATTGACCAAAACTTTTTTTTCTTTATTGATTTTTTAGAGAAAGAGGAAGGGAGAGGGAGAGAGAGAGAAACATCGATGAGAAAGAACACTGACAGCTGCCCCCTCATGCCCTGCACTGGGGATCGGGCCCACAACCTGGGCATGTGCCCTGACAAGGAATTGAACTAGCGACCTCTTGGTGCATGGGTTGATGTTCAACCAGTGAGCCACATGAGCTGGGACAAAATCTTTCTTCTTAAATGTTAATTCAAAAACAAACACACTTCCAGAATTACAAAGTGAGGTCAGTTTAAATACAGACCTGATTCCTCAGAAACATATTTTTCAGGTTCCCAATTCTAATCTCTCTCTAGGAGATCATATTACGTTTGCCTATTAAATGATACAGGCCATTGTTTCCTGAACACTGGGAGGGGGAGAATAGTATCGGTAAGTCCCTCAGACCTTGGGAGTTCTCTCAGAAAGAAAAAAGAACCGGCTCCAGAAGCTTTACACATAACGTGCCTCATCTGGCCAGCGAGAAACAGCTGTGCGTGCTATCCCAGCCGAGGCCTATACAACCCTTTTTGGCCTACAAGGACAAGCTGGCAGGCTGACAGGTCCAGAGAGTAAATTCATGCTCCCTAGTTATTTCTCAGAAAAGCCTTGTAGGCAGGCTATGGCTTTATTCCTAGAAAATGAGAACTTTCTGGTTTTCCCAATGCTTTCAATCCATCAGAGACCACTGCAATCTAAAGGCATATTCAAAGCAGAAATAAGAGCTTGGGTAGGACTAAAGCCCCAAAGACTGTCAGGTTACTCACAGAGACTGGACTCAGGTTTTAGCACATGTAACAGGTTGTCTTTCCAACATCCTACTTTGAGCTACAAGGTTGAAATGTATTAAACATACTCCAGCCTTACCTTTTCTTTCTCTTCCAGATTTTACACATATACACACACATTAAGCAGCAGGAGGGAAAAGGCTAGCTATAAGGAAAAGGATCTTTGAACAGACATCCAGAGGATAAACTTTTCTATTCATCAACGATATAAGACTTTTAAGATGCTTAACTGCTGTCCTGGCCAGTGTGGCTCAGTTGGTTGGTCTGTGCACCAAAAGAGCACCGGTTCAATTCTGGACGGGGCATATGCCCAGGTTGCAGGCTCAATCCCCAGTAGGAGGCATGGAGGAGGCAGCAGATCAATGTTGATGTTTCACTCTTACATTGATGTTTCTCTCTCTCTAAAAATAAATAAAAATCTTTAAAAAATTCTTAATTGCTTCTCTGCATTGAGTTTCTGAGTAATGAGTTAGTGCTCTAGAAACCTCAAAGTGATTCATGTGGCTTTGACATTTTTTTTGTTTATCATTATGAACTCATAGAATGTTATACATTTCATGAGTTTCAATCCATTGTACTCACTATTATTTTAATGGCCAGGAATGTCTAATCACTGGGTTGTACACCTGAAACTAATGTAATATTGTATGTCAACTGTAATTAAAAGATAAAAATAATTTAATTGAAAAAACAAAAACAAAACTTGCCTTCTCTTTAAAAAAAGAAGTCTCCCCAGGACTACAAGATTGTGAAAAAAATTCATCTTACTTTTGGGTCACTCTAAAATCTTGGCTCGAGTCCACGGCTTTCAAACTAGAAGAAGGGACGGATAATGGACTTTCAGTGATTATTTCACCTGAACCTCGTGCCAAGTTTTTCTCCAAAGAATTCTAAAAACCTGGAGTTCAGTATTAAAACAATCAGTGACCAAATAATGGACACATACACACAGCTGGTCTGCAGTTTGGCCTTAGTAATAGAGTTAAAGGAGAATTTCAAGTTTATATTTTCCTGTATTCTCCCATTCATTAGGATTCTCAATTAATTGCAAGCAATTTTATCTGAGATACTAGGTATCAATGAGTATTCCATATGAGGATATAATTTCTCTTTCCCTTCATCAGATTCAGATGATGGTGATGGAGAGAGCACAAAATGAACTTCATTGCCCAGCTGGTGTGGCTCAGTGGATCAAGCGTTGTCCCATGGACTGAGAGGTCCTGATTCAATTCCTGGTCGGGGCATGTGCCTGGGTTTGGGCTCCGTCCACAGTGGGGGGTGTCCGGGAGGCAGCTGATCGATGTTTCTCTCTCACATTGATGTTTCTCTCTCTCTAAAAAAAAAAATCAATAAAATATTTTTAAAAAATTAACTCCATTCTATCTATATATTTTTATTTAATTATAACTCACAGTTCTTCTGAAAGCTCTAAGATGGAATAGCAAATTACAGGTTTTATTTTATAAGAAATATGGATAGAATCCAAGTGTATTTTAGAGAATTAAGTACCTCAATATTCTAATATAAACACGCTGGTCTAACAACAAATTTTATGATATATTAAAATTGATCAAAACATGATATTAGAGAAGCTGCTTGCTCAAAAATAAAAAAAAAATTGAATTTTTTTCTATTAGAGCAAGATGATCACTTCTCAGCCTTTTGGCTAAGATCAGGTATAAAACGATGAAAAATGACTTAAATAGAGTTAAGTGGAGAATAATCTATCAAAAAGATGTTTTACTAGTTCTGTCACTAACGAGGACTAGAATTAGTATCCTCCGCCTAGTATTCATGTGAAGCGATCTGTTATGCACCTTAAGGACCAGACAGTTGAATACTTCTCTACTGAAAGGGACCAGGACTTTCTAAACGTGTAAGGAGAGAGGACATGGACACAGGCCCGTCAGAAAGGCCGGCTTGCAGGCTGGCCCGGGCTGGCAGACAGCTGCCTGTGCTGGCAGGAAACTCCCCCGAAAGGTGAGTGCCCCAGTGGGCCTACGCTGTGTTGTGTAGCGCATGCTGAGCACCTGCTTTCCTCCCCGGACTCTGGAATGCTGGCGTGTGCTTGCAGAGGGTGCCTGCGTGCCCAGCTCCAGGAAAACCTTGGGCACCGAGTCTCTCATCAGCTTCTCTGAGACAACTCTCTGCCGAGCGTCACGGCCCGGTGCTGGAGGAATCGAGTGGGTCCTCTACAGAGCAAAGGACTCTGGAAGCTCCTCTGGTTTCCTCCAGACTTCGCCCTGTGCCTTTTATCTCTGCTGTTTTGCTTTGTATCCTTTCGCTGTAATAAATTTTAGCCCCAAGCACATCTATATGATGAGTCCTGTGTGTTTTCCTAGTGAATTACCGAACCTGAAGGTGGTCTTGGGACCCCAAACACAGCCTGGAACTTTTTTTTTTTTTTTTTAAAGAGAACAAGTACTGAGACAGTACTAGAATGACACAGGAGACAATTTAAAGTCCCCTCACTTGCAAAGTTGACGGTTTGAACAATACAAAGAAAATAATTGACTTAGTAAGAATTCTTCAATATATAGTTAAACATAAAAGTGGGGAAATACATTTGAAGGTTTTTTCAATGCTATATACTGATTGGTCCACGTCTTATGACTCCTATCCTCAAGTTCTGGTAAATGTCTAGGTTGTTAATCACCAATGAAAGCTAAACTATAAAGAATCAAAGCACAGTATTAAGTAAATTAAAAACTTACACTGTTTAAGTAAAAATGTATAAATGTATATATGTAGACTACCCAAAAGTTGACAAGATGGCAGCTAAATGACACTTTCATACGTCCTCACAAAACCAATTTACTTACATCTTTTCCATTCATCCCAAAGTAAAATGACATACTGGTTTATATTTGCTGAGGGCTATGTTAGGTGACTAGTGACAGACTACAGAGTTATTTCCATCAATGAACCTTTCTGATCAAGTCACCCATCTTTATTGGTGATGATTTCAGACTCATTATATATATATATCCATGACACAGACATTAATCAAATTCAACCTGCTACATTGCCCAAATACTATCCCCCACACATTCTTTTTAATTTTTTTTCCTTTATTGATTTTTAGACAGAGAGGAAGTGAGAAGGAGAGAGAGACAGAAACACTGACGAGAGAGAACAATGACTGGCGGCCTCCTGCATTCCTCGCACGGGGGATCAGGCCCACAACCTGGGCATGTGTCCTGACCAGGAATCGAACCGGCAACCTCTTGGTGCATAGGTCGACGCTCAACCACTGAGCCACACTGGCCAGATCACCCACACATTGTTAAAAATAAGATAATGTGTGGCAAATACATGCTTACCTCAGAGAGAATGTTCACTTAAGATTTGAGCATTTCTTTTTATGTAAAATTTACCTCAAAGGGAAAAAACCGTAACTCTAGGTTAATGATATTCATGCTCAACTACTTAGGGGGACATGGGTTGGTGTCTGTACTGATTTTGAAATACATTGAAAATAGGATGAACGGATTAATGGATGGACAGAAGGGCGCAGAGATGGGTATATATGTGATAAGACTAAAATATTAGTAGTAGAAATCTAGGTGACAGGTATCTAGGTGTTCACTGTTAGTAGTTTGACTTTTCTGTTAGAAATTTTTTGGAATAAAATGTTAGAATAAAATAACAGTGTATGGGACAGGGATGAGGTTGTGAGAAGTTCATCTAGTAGAGACACCTGGAGGATGAACTTTCTGTGAACTTTCTATCCAGCAAAGAACAAAAATGGCATAAGATTTTATTCTACCAGCAGAGGCAGGGCTTGAAAGAGACAATACAACTGGGCGCTGGCTAGCAGTCTTCCCCACACACTATCAAGCAGCTGTAAACGAAAACGCTAGGGAGGGTCACTTAATGGTAGCTGGCCCCCCCACCGGCACCCTCTGCTAAGTGCATCTCCGAGGGACCTTGCAGGCCCCAGCCCCTGCTGCACTTCTCAACGGCCAGGTGCACAGTCCCTGGAAGCCTCTTCCTCCAGACAAGCACCTCCACTTGCTCTGTCGTCTAAGGATGTGTTTATTTTACTAAATAGGGTTCACAATCTTTGTCATGGAATGCAATCAGCAGCCCTCAGAAGTGTGGTAGAGGGGGGAGGGCATGGGACAAGGTGGTCTCTCGGCTCACTCTCACTGAGAGGCTCTGGAAGCCCCGAGGCCTGCCTTCTTAGTCTTAGCCACCATCTCTGACCAGGAAAGGGAGACAGGAGTGGTGAGCCTCTCCTGCTTACCTTCACTGGGGTCGGTGGGAATCTCACTTTCCTCTGGCCCCGCCTGGTCCTCCGTATTATGTTCTCCTTCTGGCTGAATCTGAGATAAGACATCAGGTTGACTCATGGCATAATCTAGGAGGAAGAAGGGAAAGGGGCTATGACAAAGAGATAAATGAAAATGACAACTAATTGCCATCAAGGTTGAGCTGAAGGTTTTGAGGTCCACAGTCCAGGGACATTTCTTTTAGATTCTAGATCACTTCTCCCCATCCATTCACCTCCAACTATGGATGATATCTGTTCAGAAAACAGGTAGAAAGGTAACACGTGGGAAAAGCCCACGAGCTACTTTAGCACGGCCCACCTGCCACTTCCATTGAGTAAGAGTGACAGGGTGTCTCAAGGGGAAGGATCAAGGCCCTCTCAAAGTGAGGCTATGCATGGAAATCACTGCAGCTGGCACACCCATAACCTAGAACTTCATTCTATGTCCTATGACTGGCCCAAGGAGAAATTATATTTCCTATTTAGCAAGGGTGAACTGGAAATCTCTGGCTTGGAACCGGAACCTGAAGTGTGTAAGGAGAGCACGAAAATGAGGACCACTGCAGGAAAAGGGACTGTTTTGAGCCCTCTTGGGGCTGCTGTCACCTCACTCACAAGGTACCAACTCAGCCTCACCCATGGAGATGAGAGACTCGTAGTTGCCCTTCATGATATTCTTGTAAAGTTCCTTTTGCCATTCTTCTAACTTTTCCCACTCTGGAGTGGAAAAGTAGATGGAGATATCATCAAATGTCACAGGCACCTGAAATCACAATGACACTGGGGTCAGTCCCTTCCACTGCAATTCAATCATTCAATAAATCTATATCAAGTGTCTTCTAGTTATGAAAATTATGTGAGCTACTGAAAGGATACAGGAAAAAATTACGACACAGATCCAACCTCCAGGAGTTGACAATGTTTTCAAGGAGAAAAGTTATAAGCTTCAGGGCTAGTGTCACTCAGAGAGAGGTACAAATGAGAAGCAGTATTTAATTCACACAGAACTATATATTCTGAATATCCACTAAGTACAAGGCTTATCCTAAGCACCAGGATTATAAAAATAAGCTTTCTGCCCAAAGGAGCACATGGCTGTATTCAAATTCGGGGCACGGACAAGGAATCTGGAAATAGCTGCACTGGGGCTGTGGTGAGTCTAGGAGACAGGACTCTGGGTAGTCCTAGAGGACAGGAAGGTTACAAACAGGCTAGAGCCATAAATCGCTTGTTTTTACATCTTGCTCAGCACCAAAAATTTGTCTCAGGTCAAGTAGATACTCAATAGTTTATCTTTATCTAACCTCACTACACAAAAGATTTGTGATAGCTTACAACAAAAATACAGATAAAATAATGACAAAAATAAAGGATCAGGATTGGGAGACCACATCTACAACAGCACCAAGGAGGAGACAGAGAGGCCATCACCAGATCAGAATTCTCAATGAGTTTCTCGCTGAGACCCAGAAGATGGGCGTGTGCCGGGGTCCAAGGTGTAGAGGAAGTGGCACCTCCCTGTACACAGGAAAGGGCTGCAGGTGAGAAAGAAGCCCAGAGCCTCTGAGCTCAAAGCTGGCAGCTACAGGAGCAGGGGTGCAGTGACAGCGAGCTGCAGCTCGAAGGTCTATCTTTAGAACAGCGGGCCCCCACTGTCATCCGCATCAGCCCCGGCAGAGTGAGGTAGCAGCAGCCTTCACCACACAGCCGAAACCACAAAACTCATCTGTAAAGAAATTTCCCCACCTGCCCAGAGACAGCATGGGAGTCTAGTATGAGTGCTGACAGCTAGGAGTACCACCTTGCTGCTGGCCTCTGGGCAGTCCCTGCACTGCCTACTTGCTCCTCACCACAGCACCTTCTGGTGAAGCCCATCTGTGTGGAGCATCCACAGACCTAGCCTGCTCCTGCAAAGGGAGGATCCTTTGGTTAAACAGACTTAATCGGTGGCAGAGAAGACATGCCAGCTTCCTATAATTAACCTACGAGTCAATCAAATCCTCCACTTATAAATATGAATATACAACCAAGGATTACTCAATATTAAAAAAAAAAAGAAAAAGAAAAACACTAATAGCACTAAGATGAACAAACACTACAAACAATCCTAGAAAAAAAACCAACAACAATAAACTGAAAATAGCCCTGGCCAGTTTGGCTCAGCGGTTAGAGCATTGGCCTGCGATCCAGAGAGACCTGGGTTCGGTTCCCACTAAGGGCACGTACCTTGGTTGCAGTTTGGCCCTGGCCCTGGTTGGGCCCTGCGGGAGGCAGCCACTTGATATGTCCCTTCCACATTGATGTCTCTCTCTCTCTCTCTCTCTCTCTCTCTCTCTCTTCCTCTCTCTCCTTCACACTCTATCTGAACAAAAAATGGAAAAATGTCCTCAGGTAAGGATTAAAAAACAAAAAACAAAAACAATAAACTGAAAATCAAACAAACTTCTAATACACAGTCACAGAGAAATTCAAACACATATTGCATTCATTAAAAAATGTAGGCTGTGCCCAGCCAGTGTGGCTCAGTGGCTAAGCACTGACCCATGCACCAAGAGGCATCAGTTCAGTTCCCGGTCAGGGCACATGCCCAGGTCATGGGCCAAATCCCCAGTGGGGGGAATGCTGGAGGCAGCCAATCCATGTTCTCTCTTCTCTCCCTCTACCTTCCTCTCTCTCTAAAATCGATAAAGAAAAAAATTTTTTTTTTTTAATTTAGGCTGCTTTTTAAAAAGAACCAGAAAATAAATATTCTTAAAAATTAAATATATAATTGTTAAAATAAAAAGTAGAAAGGCTGGAGAGGAAGGTCACAGAACTCTAATTTAAAAAGAGGAAAATAAGAAGGAAAAGTAATGAAAGAAAAAGACAATCATCGATCACCTATCAAACTAGTTCCAAGATGAAAACAGAAAAAAATATTGGGAGGTGATGCAAGGTTACAAATATAGATGCATAGAAATAAATTTCCCAAAGCTAAAAAGATACCAGTCTTCTGATTGGAAGGTCATATCAACTGCCCAACACAAATTTAAAAAGTCCTACACCCAGACATATACTCAATAAATTTTAGAAAAACTAGTATGAATAGAAGATAAAAGCTTCTGAAGAGAAAAATAGATTTCTTACAAACAAATGAGAATTGATTTGGTAGTAAATTTTTCATCGATTGCATTTGATGTTATGAGACAAAGGACCAATGCCTTTAAAACTCTGAGAAAAATGAAATATTATTCAGAAGGAAATCCTGATATGCTACATGGATGAACCTGGAGATGTTATATAAGTGAAATAAGCCAATCACAGAAGGACAGAGATTGTATTATTTCACTTACATGAGAATCATCAGGTTCACAGAAATGAAGCAGGACGGGGGGGTGGCAGGAGGAGGGGAAGGCAGCACTTTCTGGGCACAGAGTTTCTGTTTGGGAAGTTCTGGAGATGGTGGCGGTGATGGCTGCACAACAATGTAAATGTACTTAATGCCCCTGAACTTAAACACGGTTAAAATGGTAAATTTTATGTATGTTTTACGTTTTACCACAATTCTAAAAATTAAAAAAAAATTCTGAGGGAAGATTATTTTGAACTTTGAATTCAAAAGTAAAGGCGTCCCTGATGGGAGTGGTTCAGTGGCGGAGCGTCGGACCGTGCATCGAAGGGTTGTGGGTTCAATTCCTGGTCAAAGGCATGCACTTAGCTTGCAGGTTCGATTCCCTGTCCCCCGTCAGGGCACATGTGGGAGGCAACGAACCAATTGTTGTCTTTCTCATACCAATGTTTCTCTCTCTGCCCCCCTCCCTACCTTCCACTCTTTCTAAAAAATAAATGGAAAAATAATATCCTCCTGTGAGGATTGACATAAAAAAACAAACAAAAAAAACCCCCAGACAGACAGAAAGAAAACAAAAGGGCAGAATAAGAGCATTTTCAACAAAGCAAGGACACAAAATTTTACTTCCCATACACCAATCTAGTGAATCTTCAAATATATGTAATTTCATTAAGAAATCTTTAAGAAAAATCACAACATTATCTTATATATTATTTTAGAGTTTAAGATGGACAGTTTAAATGTTACTCATTTACTTAGGTAAGTCGATAAGTAACTTTAACTTACCTTTTCTGTTATTCTTATGGCAAATGCTAAGTTTGCACTACCCTAAACTTCTGGAGGGGCTCCCAACACAGATAAAACACACTGTGGGAAAGGTTCTCCATCAGACCCTGACTCTGAGACCCTTCCAGGTACCTCTCCCTTGAAAGAGTCAGTTAACCTCATTTTATCCATTTCCTCTCTTCCCATTCACTTGTTGTTGTTGTTAATCCTCACCTGAGGATATTTTTCCATTGATTTTTTTTTTTTTAAGAGAGAGTGGAGGGGAGGAAGGGATGGGGAGGCAGAGAGAGAAACATCCATGTGAGAGAGATCGGGCACCCTGGCCGAAGATTGAACCTGCTGTAATCCACCCTCCAGTGTGCCGGTTGATGCTCTAACCACTGAGCACACCAGCTTGCGCCCCATTCACTCTTCAACCGGCTCCATTCAGTCTTCTATTTCCACCACTGAAACAACTCTCATCAAGGTCACCAGCCTATGTTGCCAAATCATATTCACTACCTTCATCTTTCTAGACCTCTTAGTAACATATTCAATTCAAGTGACAGTTCTCTCCTTGAAATGCTTTTTCTCCTTGTCCCTGTGACCCCATACTTCTCTGTTTTGTTTCTTTTCCTACCTCAAGGCCACTCCTCCTACCCCTGGAGCTTTGCCCTTGAACTCTTTCTCTCCTGCAGTACACACTTCCAGACTCATGACTCATACTGCAATCTGTACATCAACAATTCCCACATACTTCTCACCTTTGAGCTTCAGAGACCACTTGACACCTCCCGTATGTGTCACAGGTATCCCAAACCTGCCAAAGGAAAACCCCTAACTCCTTCCCACCCCCAAGATAGTCCCCATCTCAGTAAGTGTCAACACCATCCATCCAGTTCTTCAAGCCCAAAGCCTAAGAGTCACTGAACGGAAGGTCTCTAAGAGCACATGCTCTGGTCTAAATACAACTCTGTTATTTATACTTACTAACTGCATGATCTTGGACAAGTTAGCATTCTTAAGAAAATAACGAAAACACTCACAAACAGTAAATTCTAAGTAAATATTCACACAGTAAATTTATAATCACCGTTGTTCTTAACTCCTCATCCCCTAGTTCCTATTGGCAAGTCCTACTGTCATTCTACCATCAAAATGTCCTCAGACTCTCCACTTGTGTCCATCTCCACCGCGGCTACCCTCACCCAAGCCACTCACACCCCTCCAGCTACTACAGCTGCCTTGTTAATTTTCCGTTTCTGTTCTTACCCCCACGATCCATTCTCCACATAGCAGCCAAAGTGATCCTTTCAAAATATATACCAGATGTGCCTCCTCTGCTTAAAACCCTCCCATTTCTTCCCCTAGGAGTACTACGATAAACCCAAATTCCTTCCTCTGGTCTCCAATGCCCTACATCCGTGGCTCACAAACCTAGCCACGTATTAGAATCAGCGATGGAGCCTGAAGAATTATGCATGCTTAGGCCCCATCCTGGACCTATTATATCAGAATCTCGAGGTGTGATGTCCATCAAAACTTAAAAACCCTCAAGGTGATGCCTATGTACAGCCAGGGCTGAAAAACTGCCCCAAATGACTGACCCTGCACATTCTTCCAGTCATGCTGTTTACTCACTGCATACCTGCTAACTAGCCTTCCCCCTTCCCCTCGGCTCCAAGTTTGTTTGTGCCTCCGGGACTTTGCACTAGGTGTTCTTACTGCCAGAAAGCTCTTCCTCAGATCTTCTCACAGTTGGGTCCTTCCTGTCAACCAGTCTCAGCCTAAACATTAGCTCCTTTATGAGACCTTCTCTGACAGCCAATCTAAAATAAATCACCAGACAGCACCTTCATTTTTATCAAAGCACTTACTATAAAACAAATAGGAAAATGAATACATTTATCTTTCTTTCTCCAGTAAAATTTAAGCTCTAGGGGAGTTTACAGGAATTGTTCATCGCTGTGCCTTCAGGACACAGATATCAAGCAAAACAGTAAGTGTTCAAGAAACATTTGTTGGATGAATGAATAAGTAAACAGGTACAGTTGGGAACCAGCTGCCTCAAGGCTGTTTCCCATAGCGTAAGAGAAATATTTATCTCCTTTTGTTTTAGAGGCTATCCCCTCCAGAAAGGCCGGGCCGCAGCACGGAAGCACACCTCTTCCACACGGGAGCTGAAGGACAGGGCCACAGAGCACCCCAAACCCTTACACTGACCATTTACTCTACATCCCTCTCCTTGTCCTCCCTCTAACATTTTTACCGGAATTGCTAACAAATTCAAATGGACTGATTTAAATGATACTTAATTTAGTTTCCACACCAAGATTGTGGCAGACAGGTTAACGAATAAAAAAGTGACTTGGGGGTAATGAATAGAAGCAAAAAAGAACAAATCCACCTGCCAGATCGTCAACTTTATATTGGAAAGAGCTGCCCGAACTGAATTTTGACACTTCAAATGATCTATTAAATTGAGCATGAAATGCTTCCCAAATAGATAAACACAAAACAAATTCAAGGTTTCCAAGACTACCCCCACTAAGGACCAGTGGTACCACGTTCCATCTAGAAGTGAAGTACTGCCCTGGCTAGTGGGCTCTGTGGTTAAAGTGTTGGCCCTCACACCAAAGGTTCTAAGGTTTGATTCCCAGTCAAAGGCACGTAACCGGGTTGCAGGTTCGATCCCCAGCCCTGGTCAGGGCGTGTGTGGGAGGCACCCAATCAATGTGTCTTTCTCACATGGATGTTTCTCTCTCTCTCCCATGCTCCTTCCCTTCCCCTCTAAAATTCAGTGAGAAAATATCTTCAGGTGAGGATTAACAACACGAAGAACAACTAGAAATGAAGTACTACCTTTGGGATATCTCCTTTAATACCCGGGGGCAGCCGCAGGATCCAGAAGTTCCTGTTCCTCAGCAGGTTCTCCAAGTTCTCCAGCCGCCTCTGCAGCAGCCCGTACTCCTGCAGCAGGGTGCCCAGCACGGCCCACTTGCCATCCAGCTGGTTCCCAAGATCAGCCACTGTCTTTTCGCAGCTGGCCAGCTTCTTCTCTGCTGTCCCCGTCCGTCCTTCCAGGTGCAGGAGCCGCCGGCTGTGCACGTCCACCTTTCTCTCTATCGCCTGCACGGCTGCCACCACTGTCCACAGGGAGATGGCTGCCGTCTGCAGGTGTGCCTCGTTTGCTGCTGGGGGTGTGGGAAGAGGAAGGGGCTGCAGGGATGTAAGGCATTCGGAGTCCCATTCAGAAGTCTGTGTGCAGTGGAGAGATAAGACAAGACACTGAATGTTAGAAGGAGCCCTAATCCAAACTCACACGAGATAAGGACTGCTTAAATGGCCATTTGAAATTCATCTAAATATAGTTTTAGTACTGCCTGCATAAGCCTTGTCTTCATGGAGCTCATTGGCATCAAAAGCCAAGAGAACTGCTTTGGTGGGTCAGGGATGAATTAGATTAAGACAGTGAGTGAAACTGGACCAAGAACCATCCTGGCATATTCCCTAGATTGAAGGAACTTCAGCCAGCTGTCCACAGGCTCAAGCTGTTGCTGCATTCTCTGTGAGTGGGAAAGGCCTACATGCCCCAGGAACTTTCCAGATTTCACCCAGCTCACTGCACTCTGATAAACCCCTCACTGTCTTATGCCCTGACCCTGTCCACCACTCTGCTTACAAACCACAACCATACCATTCAGTAATAGCTGAATAAGCATTGAAGGTTGAATCTGGAGGGTTATAAAACAGAAGGCAGCCCAGCCAGTGTGGCTTGGTCGAGCACTGACCCTGCACCAAGAGGTCGCCAGTTCGATTCCGGTCAGGGCACATGCCCAGGTTGTGGGCCAGATCCCCAGTGAGGCGCATGCAGGAGGTGGCCAATCGATGTTCTCTCTCACTGATGTTTCTCTCTTTCTCTTTCTCTCAAATCAATAAAGAACAAACATTTTTTTTAAATTAAAAAAAGAAAGAAAGAAAAAACAGAAGGCAGAACAGATTTGTTTAACTTTATACTGTGTTACTCCATAGCGCAGAACTAGAACCAACATGGAATTTTTAGGCAGGCAAACTTTGGCCTATATAAGTAACTTTTGAACTAGATCTTCCAAGAAAGTAACAGGCTGTCCCATCACTGCACGTACATTGAAACACCGTATTTAAAAAAAGAAATTCCTACAGCAAACAGGAGGTTGGGTGAGCATGACCTCTAGGAAGACTTCTGACGCTATGGTAACCGGCTCTCTGGCTACAACCTCCCACCTCTCCAGCTCACCACCTGCCTTATTTTCATTTTACCTGCTCTGCAATCCCACTAAACCCGTGACCATTCCATTTGCTGCTGGTTTATCAACCTGCTCCAAGCTTTGCTTTCCTCCTCAGTTGATCACTTTAGTCACCTTTATTCAACCCTTTCTGCCTCACCTGTTCAGCTAACCGCCAGGCTTGAATCAGTCCAATCGTTCTCATTCTCTGTTCCTGTAAGCAGGCTGGTAAGTCACACAACCAGGTAAACCAGTGTTATCACACAACAACAGTCTCTAAGCTCAGCAGGGACTCAACGCTGCCTGGTGGCCCCCTTGCTGCTTTTCCCATTCCATAGAGTGGCTGCTACAAACCCCGGGCCCTGTCCTTACACGTTCACTACAGTGCTTCGCAAACGAATATGAGTAAGAATGATCTGGAGATCTTGTTAAAATGCAGTCTTTGATTCCGTAGGTCTGGGAGGACAGCTGAGATTCTGCATTAACTAGCTACGCGATGAGAAGGGCTGAGAAGGATCAGTCGTGGCCGCTGCAGGGCCCCTCACTCTCAAATGACAAGGAGAAAAAGATTATATCAAAACTCTCTCAACGTTTTTCTTTTTCTTCATTCCTTCCCACCTCAGACTCAGTAATAACTTAATCCATGCTTTCTTCTTTCCTTCCCACAGAGAAAAGGGTCATCCTATTTAAAACTAACCTCTCCACTCGTGCTCCGAATGCCAAATCATTTTTAGGTACATTGTTCTTTACTCTTTTTTTAATGGTCAATATTTCAATCTCTCCTGATTCTTTTTCATAAGATAGACCCGCACTGTTCAGTATGGTAGCCATATGCAGCTACTGAGCACCTGAAATATGGTTATTTTGACTGACATGTGCTGTGAGTATAAAATACACACCAGATTTTGAAGACTTAGTATGGAGTTAAAATACAAAACTCGATTAACTTCTTAATTTTGGCCACGTATTGAGATATGTTGTATGCACTGGGTTAAATAAAACAGATCCTTAAGATTAATTTCATCTATTTGTTCTTACTTTGTAAATGCGACTCCTAGAAAATGTCAAGTGACCATATGTGGCTTCTGTTAGAGGTCTATTGGCCATGGCTGGCGGACACGTGCTCACATCTACTATATACTTTAAATTTTATTTCCTTTATTGATTATAGGGAGGAAGGGAGAAGGAGGGAGAAGGACAGAGAAACACTGATGAGAGAGAGAACATCAAATGGCTGTCCCCTACATGCCCCCCACTGGGGATCGAGCCCACAACCTGGGCATGTGCCCTGATCAGCAATCCAACTGGTGACCTCTTGGTACAGGGGTCAACGCTCAACCACTGAGCCACACCGGCTGGGCTAGTATGTATTTTTAAAAGACTAGAAAAAGAGAAGGTCCAAGGGCAGAGGTCGCTGAGGTGGCATTCCCCAGTGCTCGATTTCCCACCCCATTGCTACTGCTCCCCTCTTTTCCCTCTGCTTTCCCCCCCCACTCCTCAGTAGCCCAGTCTGGCTCCTGACCCACTGAAACGGCTCTCCTTGGGGGTGACCGAAAGCTTCTTAGTTGGCAAATCCAAGGCATACTTTTCAGCCCCGTGTAACCTGTCTAGTCCCTGCTCATTCTAACCTGGGTCTTATGTGCAGGGACTGAGTTGGTCACTTGCAGCCCTAGCAGCTGGCGGAAGACTTGGCCCCCTCAGGCCTGCAGTAAACATCCCCAGGATGAAGAAACACAGTCAGCCCACCCTGGGCACTGACGGGGGGCGGCCCGTGTGTCCGGCATTGTCGCGTGCTGGGCCCTGGGGACCCCTGTCCCCCCGCAGTCCTTCCACACGTCTGTGCCACCGTCACACCACATCTGTGGCTGTGCGAGGCTCAGTGGGCCGCACCGAGGGTGATTTTGTGTGGCTGCACCCAGAGCTGTTGAGTGGCCGATGACAACGTCACACCATGTCCACCGCCCTGCGTCCGGCCGGCTGCAAGGGGGCTGACTCCCTGCACTCGCAGGACACCCCTGCTGCGCTGGGGAGCCCTGGGCCTCACGCCGAGGCCCCAGGATGCGGAAAGGGACGCGCCCTCTCAGACCCGCGCTGGGCGTCGGGGTCCCAACCAACACCCAGGCCCGTCACCGGCCGACGGGCCCCGGGGGCGCCTGTGCTCCGCCGCTCGGGCTGCGCCCCGCACCTGACAGGCCCGGCTTCCCCACCTCCTCCCTCCCCGCGGGCCCAGGACCAGAGCCCGAGGCGCCCAGACCCTGCCGGGCGCGCAGCACTCGGCGCGCGGGCCGCGCTTACCGGAGCCGGGGCCGCCTCGGCCATGGCCCTGCGCTGTCCGGCCCGGGCCGCCGCCGCCGCCAGGAACCACACAGGCGGCACCCGCCCGCCCTGCCTTCCGCGCCCAGACTCGCGCGGCCGTTGGGCCCAGCTGCTCGCTCGGGGCGCGGGGACGCGGCAGAGACAGGGCCGGCCGGTCGGAGGAGCTCGGGTGGCAGGATAGCTCAGCGGCGCTCGGTCCCCAGCGGCCCTTCAGCTGGCGCTTTGTGGACACCGAGCGCACGCCGGGCACGACTGCGGCCTAGACGCGCCGTTCAGCCGGCCGCCCGCCGCGCAGCGCGCCCCCTGCTGGCCGGCGGACACTCCCGCCCCGCGGCTGGGCCGGCCGGCTCGCTCGTGCGCCGTGGTTGCTCTAGGAACCAAGCGTGTTGTTTTCTCACACCCGAGAGCGCTCAACAGGTTGCAGCTTAGGGCCCAGCGCAAACTTGGGCTCCTCTGGGGGATGTTTTCTTCCTGGAGGCCCACTGAGCAGGCACCGCCTGAAGCGAGGCGCTGGGAAGGAAGGCAGCCGGATTCAGAAACGTGGAAATGGGCGGAGAGCGCGGTGCCAGTGAGCCTGGGGGCTGGAATGAATGACACCCGGGCACACGGCTGTGATGAAAGAGGACGTTCGTCACTTGCAGAAATGACAAATCTGGCTGCCAAGATGCAGCGGTTCACGACCCACGTGGCCCGGGTTAGGAACAAAACCTCCTGTGCAGTTGTCCTTCCATCCGGATCGTTGAGGTTCTGGTTTGCTGGGTCTGTGCTCGCGGACTGGAAAGAAGCACGTGTTCTCTACCGAGGCTGTGTGTTTCCGGTTGACAGCCGCGTTACCCGGAGTTTCCAGCGCAGTCTGCCTTTCAAACACGCTGACCACGAATCAGAATCCCCCCAAACCTGTATTTCGACAACCGAATTAAGCCAATGTCCATAATAGTCTGAGCACCTAATTCACAAAAGTATGAGAACCATCCTGTTGGGGCATCTGCGTAACCAAGCTATTTTTAGACCGCAGCTACACCTGCAGTATATAAGTTGAGGTCTACCTCAATACACATTTTGGTCAAATGGAATGTTGGGTAGTTAAAAATTGCAGTGAAAGCCCAGCCGGGGTGGCTCAGTGGTTGAGCATTGATCCATACACCAGGAGGTCGAGGGTTTGATTCCTGGTGGGGGCACATGCCCGGGTTGTGGACTTGAACCCCAGTGGGGGCATGCAGGAAGTGTCCAATGGATGTTCTCTCTCATCGCTGTTTCTCTCTCTCTCCCTCTCTCTGTGTCTAATATCAATAAAAGAAAAAAATTATTTTAATTGCAGTTATATTAATCAGACCACGACAGAATGAACTAGAGAAAAATCTGAATTTTCATGGAAAGAACATTTTTACAATTTTATTATTAGAAATGTAGATAGCAGAATTTTAAAGCTGACTTTCATGCAAGAACAGTAATTTCATAGCCCTGTCAACTACTGGATACCTCCATAGCCATTAAACAGGGACTTTACTAAAAAAGATAATCTCAACTGAGTTTCATGGACCACCAACGCTAGTTCTGCCAGTATAATGTGGTAACTCTGCTACCAATTTATTAAGTGGTCCTTCCTCTAACAGGAACGTATTAAGATAAAGACTTGACTCCTTTTTAATTCTTGGTCTTGAAAAAATTTTGGATGGTGACGGCATTTAATTGAAGCAATTTCACAGACTGAAAGTTTTGCGCACTGTTTCAAGAAGATACATATTTTCAGAAGTAGATTTAAGATTGTTGTACCGCCCTGGCTGGTTTGGCTCAGTGGTTGAAGCATCTGCCCACAGACCAGAGAGTCGTGAGTTTGATTCCCACTAAGGGCACGTACCTTGGTTGCAGTTTGTCCCCGGCCCTGGTTGGGGTGGTGTGGGTGGCAACCACTCGATGTGTCTCTCTCACATTGATGTTTCTCTCGCTCTCTTCCTCCCTCTCTCCTTCCCGCTCTATCTCAAGATAAATGCAAAAATGTCCTCAGGTGAGGATTAAAAAAAAGATTGTTGTACTCAAATATTTTATTTCTGTCAATGTAAGAAACATTCAAACCTATAGAGAATTTTTTTGACTTTATTTGAGCCAAACTGTTGACAACTGTCGGGAAGAAAAATCTCAACGGATTGAGACAATGCTCCAGAGAATGGCAGTTTTGCACCTTATTTGATACATGACAATCAAAAGAGAAGACATAAGTGGGTTACATGAAATCCATTGGTGATAGATTAGGGAGGCGGGAGAGAGCAAAGCGGGGAAACCTCTGGGATTGGATGAAAAGTAAAATGATAGACACATACATCTTTTTTTTTTTTTTTTGGTACGTGCCCCTACCAGGAACCAAACCCTGGACTCTGGTCCGCCCCTCCAGCCGCTGAGCCAAACCGGCCAGGGTGACACATACATCGTTTACATAGGTGGGGACAGGATAGTTAACAGCCAACAATTAACTCAATAACAATGAGGGGATTTGTGGTCTCCAAAGAGTGGTGCCTATTCTTTGAGGGGTCTGGAAAAAGGAAAATTACTTTGACGTTCCAAAGATATGTTATTGTAGATGCAAAAAGACATTAGACTCAGTTAAGGTAAAGATTGACCTTTGTCAGGGAAGATGCTGGCCTAGGACAAGACTACCCACCATAAACTGCTTTTCACTAAAAAGTTTGAATTTCAGACCATCCTTTGTGGTTACTTTAGGTCTCTGAGTTTGCACGGCCACCACACAGCCCTCCCTGAGCTTGTCAGGTTAGCATGCAGCCCCTTTTTGTCCAATTTCCAATTTCTAATATTTTTGTCTATTCTTGCCGCTATACACAATCCTTAAAGTTTGGACCAAGAAATGTGACAATGGAGCTGTTTAACTGGTTTTCAAGTTTTTTTTGTTTTGTTTTTTTTTTTTTATCCTCACCCGAGGACATTTTTCCATTTTTTGTTCAGATAGAGTGGGAGGGAGAGAGAGGAAGAGAGAGAGAGAGAGAAACATCGATGTGAAGGGACACATCGAGTGGCTGCCACCCGCACCACCAGCCAGGGCCGGGGACAAACTGCAACCGAGGTACATGCCCTTAGCGGGAACCGAACCCGGGTCTCTCCGGACCGCAGGCGGACGCTCTAACCGCTGAGCCAAACCGGCCAGGGCTAACTGGTTTTCAAGTTAAGAAAACCATTGAACTTTCCACCTGCATCGTAGCTTTCCTTGTAGGTACACCAACTGCAGTGTCTTCCCTGGAGTAGAACCAAAGGAAAATCTTTTTTTATTTTATCCTCACCTGAGGACATTTTTTGCATTTATCTTCAGATAGAGCAGGAGCGAGAGAGGAGTGAAGAGGGAGAGAGATACATTAATATGAGAGAGACACATTGACTGGTTTTCCACCCACAAGAACCCAATTGGGGCCCGGGACAAGCTGCAACCGAAGTACGTGCCATTAGCGGGAATCAAACCCGGGACTCTCTGGTCCACGGGCGGATGCTCCAAGCGCTGAGCCGAACTGGCCAGGGCATAGAGGAAAATCTTTTCAGCAAAAATCATGTAGGCACATCCATTTATTCAGCAAATTCCTACAAACTGCTCTCTATGCAAGCAACTATTGGTTATTAATTAGTAACTCTTACTATATCACATTCTCTGGAAAATACAAAACTAAGGTCTTCTTTGTTCTATAAGCCTTTGAAGAATCTAATAGCTGCTGTTCCATCTTGTTTAAATATTTGTATATGTACATGACAAGACAATTTCAAAATCTGCTGTGTATCATATAATTTGTTATCAGCAGAAGTGGTCGACAATCTTTCTGCTTGCAGCCAGTCATTTTCTATTACATCTTTTAAAGCCACAAACATTTCTGAATATAAAATTAAAAGGTGTAAAGAAACTATAGTATGCTTCTGCTCATAGCCTTCACCATATTTGTTCCGCGGTCAATGATAATTTCATGCATTTCTCTTTGCTGATTTCACATTCCATAACAATCACTTGAAGTCAGCTTTCCTATGTGGGTGGGACCCAGGCATCTTTAATCAAGTAAGGGAAGCGGAAACATGGTTGAATTCTTCATCATTCCTCTAAATTGACAAACCCAAAAAATTAAGGTTGATTCATGTCCAAATGTCACATGCACCATACACTGTGGCAGCATATTTAATAATTTAATTAATCTTTTTGTACATAGAAAAATATAAATCAGAAAAAGGTTTTTAGGAATTTTTCTAGAGGAAATCAGTGTTTAGAATTCACAGTTTGTTGTAAATCTCAAAAATCCTTTAACTTATGGGGAATAAAGGGGGACATCTATAATACATTCAACAATAAAGATGAGTAAAAAAAAATCCTTTTTCTTCAATTGCTGAAAATGGTTATCAGTCTATAGTAATTATTTCTACAAGCTTTAAAAAATATTAGCCCTCTGCCCTGGCCAGTTTGGCTCAGCGGTTAGAGCGTCGGCCTGTGGTCCAGAGATACCCGGGTTCGGTTCCCACTGAGGGCATGTACCTCGGTTGCAGTTTGTCCCCGGCCCTGGTTGGGTCGTGCGGGTGGCAACCACTCAATGTGTCTCTCTCACATCTATGTTTCTCTCTCTCTTTTCTTCCCTCTCTCCCTCCTGCTCTATCTGAAGATAAATGTGAAAATGTCCTCTGGTGAGGATAAAATAAAATAAAATTAAAAAAATATATATTAGCCCTCACAGATCCCAAATCATGCGGCATTGTCTTATTAAAAGCATTCTTGTAAAGGTTGTTGTTTAGAGAGAACAAATGTATTTGGGGTGTCTCGTTTTATCTAAACGTTCAACTATTTCTCATGCTTTCTCTCTATTTTTTTAAAAAGAATTTTTATTTATTTATTTTTTTATCCTCATCTGAGAACATTTTTTGATATTTTTGTTCAGATAGAGTGGGAGGAAGAGAGAGAGAGAGAAACATCAACGTGAAAGGGACACATTGAGTAGTTGCCACCCGCACAACCCAACCAGGGCCGGGTCTCTCTGGACCGCAGGCTGACGCTCTAACCG